CCGGGGCTGCCCCTTGCACCAGCCAGGCCTGCCTGCAGCTGGAAACGCTCCCTTCCCCGTGCACCCCACGGGCAGAAACTGGGTCCAGTCCTTCACCATCTCATCACTGGTGTTGCCCTCCCAGAGCTGATGCTTTTGAGCTTTTCTCCCTTTCGCCTGGTGTGGAGCAGGGCGGCCGCGCAGGGCACGCACCACGACACCGACATCGGACCACCGATGCACCCAGTGCTGGAAACTGAAATTTCCAGGGCAGACCTGGGAAAGTCAAGTGGGGCTTTAAGGCCCTGGGGGGTGGTCAAGGGCTTGGGGGGACCTAGGTGGTTTTTCGCTTCAAGGGAAAGGGCTTGAGGAGCAGAGGGGGTTGTGGGTCAGAGCCTGCCCATGCAGCTGGTGCCAATGAGTGATTAGGCTGCTGCCCCCAGAGCCCTCGTGGGTGGGAGAGATGGGATCCACCTGGGCAGGGAGAGCCAAAGGCAGGTCGCCATGGGGCTGGCCAATCCAGAGAGAAGGCTTTAAATTGGGAATGGGAGGGGCAGAGGTGATGCCTGAAGCAAAGGGAGTGAGCAGGGGGCTGGGGATAAGGGACCCCAAAGTCAGGGCGGGGGGTGCCCCCACTGTGGGTACAGCTGCAGGCAGGGGAGTGCCAAGAGGGCAGTGTTGTGGCAGATGTCCTCCCTCTTTTCTTGGGAAATCTGCAGGAGCAGGTGCCTGTCTGGAGAGCCCGGGACCAGTCCTGTTCGTGCTCCACCTGGTGAGTCCTTCCTGCCCAGTTCTGTCCTGTGCTTGTTCATCTCGTGAACTTGGCTGCCCAGTAAGAAGCAGTTACTTTGCTGGTGGGACGGTCCTCAATCACTTGCCAAATAACTATTGTTCTGGGTTAAAACCCCAGATATTTGGGCTTCCAAGGCAGCTATGTAAGTTTATACTTTCTATTTGAAAGCTTGGTTATTGCGTGGGGTTTTTGTTGTAATGGTGGTGCCCCAGGTGGCTGTGATATGGCTCCGTGCTTGCACCGATTGCTCTTTCTCCCTCATTTCTCCCAGACTCCTGCATGATAAAGCAGTGCTGTTTCACCGTGGTAACCGAGAGGAGCATAGTGACAGGATAAAAATCTGGCTTTTTTCTGTTTATAGTGGCTTTTACACCTCCTGGGCTTCAGTTTCGCCAGCGGCTTGGTGGGCTGGGAGGGGCTTGTGGTGCTTTTTGTGTGTGGTTTGTGGTTTGGGTTTTGCTTTGCTTTGGCTGGGTTTTCTGTGGTTGTTTAACTATTATTATTCTTCATTTTATTTTGTTTTTCATTGGAACG